TCCAGGCCACCTGTGGCCTTCTAGGTCTTTGGGTGCAGCCTTTTGATTGAGTCCGAGTTTAACAGAACAAATCCTGTTATTAAGGGGATTTCTTCTGTGAAGTTTGGATTAAGTCAAGGGGCTGCACTTGAGGATCTAGTGATACTATCTTTCCATCTTCTTCCACAAGAATAGTATGAGATAATTTATCAAAAAACTTTGCTAAAATCTAAGTAGAATACATTCACAACATTCCCCTCATCTACTAGTTTAGAAATCCTGTCAAAAAAAAAAAGAAATGAGAATAGTCTGACATGATCTGTTCTTGATAAAATTCTTTGTAATCGCTGCTTCATTTCTTTAATGAATTTTTCCAGGAATCAAAGTCAAGCTCACAGGCCTATAATTTGCAGACTCTTTTTTGAAAATTGAGACAACACTTGCCATTACTTGTGGCACAAGGTGCTATAGGAGTTGGTATGCTGTTCAGTATGCTCAATACTCACAGTTCAAGATTTGATGATGCAGCAAACATACAGACAATAGAGAGAACACTGTAACACTCATAATTTACAAAGTACACTGCACACATGAAAATATAACTGCTTTTAGGGGAGGAAATGAGTATGTTCTCTTCTTTGCAGGTGAAATGAGACAGTAGAACTCGTGACATACTAAATAATTTATGAACAGAGCTAGAATTAGAACCTAGTCTAGAATCCTATGGCACTTCTCTTATTTTTCCTATTCTTTTCAACATCACTGATAGTGACTCAGCAATCACACCTGATCTTTCTTTCAACACCTGAAGATGTAGTTCTTCTGGGTCAGGTGACTTGAAGTCATCAAAGGCTTCTAAATCAGAGATTCTTAACCAGGGGTCCATGACCTTGTCTTATTAATATTTTGTTAACTGCATTTCAATATAATTTTGGTTTCCTTTATAATCCTATGGGGTTTTTTTATTTTATGTGTTTTAAAACATTATTATGAGAAGGGATCATAGGCTTTGTCAGACTGTCAAAGATGTCCATGACACACAAAAAAGTTAAGACACGCTGATCTAGGTGCTCTCTTCCTATCTCATTACTTATTTTAGATATCTGTCATCCACAACTGTGGAAATCTTATTTATCTTTCAAACGGTATCCCTTTCATTAAGTTTGACCTGTCTTGGTGCTTACCACTTTAAACCACTCCTTCCTTTGAACTCCTATAGCACCTTGTTCGTATCTCCCTACTAAGTGTGTATTTATATCCATATAAGTGTGTATATTTACAACCACATGTATATATATTTATATCCATACATGTATACATGAATGTACATATGTACACAGTATATGTGTATTTTCTATTATATTGTGAAATCATTGAGGCCAAGTATATCATTCATTTTTATAGCTCCCATAGTACCTAGTACAAGACGTTTTATAATAGTATGTGTTCAATATACTATTCTTTGAATGAAAGGATAAATGCATAACCAGCCGCTATTCCCATGCTTTTTTCTTTTTTAAATTAAACCGGGTACCTCTGGCCTGTAATCAGGATAAAACTAACTGAGGTTCTTCTGAAAGGTTATGTATACAAGTAAATATATATTTCTCCCAAGGTCCTTTTATCCTCCCACTAACACACTAAATATATAATGGGTAAGAAGTATATCCATGGACCATTATATGTAATGTACACTTCTGGTATAATTAATCCAGTGGATTTTTTCCTAAACCTTTTCCTCTTCAATATGCTTCAATATATAGAATATATAGGATCCCTTCAACATTTTATGTATATGGTTTTCACTCCGCTATTTAAAATTATTTCTACATCCTTTTTGTATGGGCCCTACCTCTCACTTTCAAAATATAAAAGAAAAGAAAGGATGGTCTGCTTACTCTATTGGCTCTGCACATAACCATTAATACAGAGGCCTTTGGACTGAACATCCAGAGACTTCGAAGGATAATGCCTCTCATCCTTTCTAAACTTAATAAAAAGATCAGCTGTTGATAACACTGTTTTCCCTTCTGTCTTTCTGTAAGATTTATAAAGTATAGAAGGTAGGATTCCAGACTAGGTTCTAGTTCTAGCTCTGTTAATAAATTATTTAGTATGTCATGAGTTCTACTGTCTCATTTCACCTGCAAAGAAGAGAACATACTCATTTCCTTCCCTAAAAGCAGTTATATTTTCATGTGTGTAGTATACTTTGTAAATTATAAGAATGTTACAGTGTTCTCTCTATTGTCTGTATGTTGTTTGCTGCATCATCAAATCTTGAACTGTGAGTATTCAGCATAGTGCCTGTAACACAAATAGACCTTTTGATGAGGAGGAAGACAGGAATCTCTGCTGCTTAACTTGCAGGTATTCTGGGAAGATAAATGAAGTGCATTTATTTACTGATTAATTAATTCAATATTTATTCATTGTCTGTGTTTAAAGCACTATACTAGGTACTTGGGACATAGAAAGATAAATAAGTTTTCCAGCCTTTAAGGCTCTTACAATCTAGTAGGAAAAGATATGACATGCGTAGATATAAATATAATAGATCTGTGATCTCATTGATATGGGTAGCCCCTTCAGTGATACAGATCAAAATGCCTCCATGCCTTTCATTCTGTGTCACTCATTTGTCTATATCCTCCAATAAATCATCCATCCAGGATCCATTCTATATGTTAGAGACCTTCCTCTAGGTATTTTAACGTTTGATGACTACTAGTGCAACCCCCTAACTATTCATATTTTCTTTTGTTCTTGCTACATGAGTAGCTTACCTCCTTTTCTGATCATGCAGTTTTTGGATTTCATGCATTTCCTTTTTTGCCACTTAGTCTTCGGTCTTCCTGTTATCAAGGCTAACTATGATGATATAATATAAATTAGATATCATAACTGTGTAAGTGAAGTATAAATTGCTATGAGATAAGATGAGGGAGAAATCACTTCTAACTAGGAGGCTTAGAGGAGATATCACTTGAATTAAACCTTGAAGAATTACAGGCAGAAATAGGGAGAGGGAGTTCCAGTTAAAGGTACATGAGCAAAGGTGCAGAGTCAGGAAATGGCACAGTATGTAAAGGGAAATGAAGAGTATAGTTTGGCTATTGTGTGGACTCTCCACAATACTGTACACTAGAGTGTGTGATTGGGGAAGTAGTGTGCTTTGAAATCATTAGAAGAAAAGTTAAAAAGATTTAAGAAACCAATTCAATAATGCCTCTATGTACATGGATTATAAATTCTGGGCAAAGTTAGTATCTTCATCCAGTCCTATTAAATGTCTGGAGTACATAGAACAGCATCCAATGCTCCTAAAAGGTAAATAAATGTGAATGGGCTTCTGCTGACTCTCCATGTTCTGTTCCTTAGAGGAAGTATGGTGTTAATTTCAGTTCATATACTTGTTCCTGCAGATTTATTTCTGATATTAGGCATCTGGCCAAAGGCGCTGGAGGGAGAGGGTGGAGAGAGGAAGGAAAAATTATCCAGAGACAGATTCATCCGGTGCCTCAGTGCCTGCCAGAACGGGCCATTGGAGCTTTTGCAGCTTTTAACGCTGGCCAAGTCTTTTACCCAAGAGATGAGATGATAATGGACTTTGGGTTGTAGAGGCAAGGAGTAGCTTACAGCCTGAGAGAAGGACAGTAAACCTCTAATCTTTTTCTCTCTTTTCCCTTGGCCTCCAGTGGGGAATTACCCGAAGGGTAGATTGAGGCCAAGGTCAAAAGTAGAAAGCCCGCTAGAGGGAGCTCCAACAAAGACTATATACAGCTCTAATGCAACAGATTTCCTCATACCTTTGTCAGTTCATTCATTCATCTAAGAAATATTTAATACCTATTTTATATAGGGCACTGTGCTAGGAAATTAACAGAGTACAAAGATAGGATGTGGTGAGTACTAAAGTAGTGGAAAAGAGTACTAAATTGAGAGTTGGGGAATCTGAACCTAGTACTTGTTCTGCTCTTAATTCAGAGTAACCTTGGACCAATGACTTCCCATCTCTGAGCCTCTGTTTCTTTATCTATAAAATGAAAGAGGTGGATTAGAGATCTTTAAGGATCTGGTCCAGTTCTCATTGTCTGTTTTTCTGAGTGCTGTAAGACTAGTATAATGTGCTGTAGAAATTCTGAGGAAGGGAAGATCATTTCCCATTGAGAAATTCAAAGAATGCTTCATGGAAGAGGGAGTATTTAGGCTGGGACTTGAAGTATGAGTAGGATTTTCACTGGTGGAAAGGAGAAGAGGGGCAGAAGAGAAGATATTCCACATGGAGAAAATAGCATAAACAAGGACAAGATGGAAAGCACCTGCCATGTCTGGGAATTGCAAGGAGCACTGTTTAGCTAGGACCTGTAGTAAAGACAAAAACTGAGAGGTATATTGGGCCAGATCATCAAGGCCTTGACTAAACTGCTGAGTGCAGAGAGATGGAGGCCAAAGGCAAAATCTTGTGAAGAAGGATGAAAGATGATTATGAACAATAATATCCCACAAAGAAAGATAGTACAGCAAAATGGATAAAGTATTAGACTTTAGTAGGGAAGACTTGGGTTCAAATTCTACCTCATACTTACTAGTTGTATGACCATGGGCAAGTCACCTAACCTCTCTGAGATTTAGTTTCCTCATCTGTAATATGAAGATAATAAAACCTGTAGTACTTATCTCACAGAGGTATTGTGAAGCTCAAATTTGACAGGGCATGTAACGTGCTTTGTAAATTTTAAAGCACTATATAAATGTCAATTATTGTTATTATTGAATAATGGCCTAAGACCATTTAGATATTTGGTAGGCAGTGAAAAGTACTTGAAGGATGTAGAGTAGCATAATGATATGATCTAATGGTGGATTAGCTTGGGGGTCCTATCTACTTATTTGTAGAATTAAATCAATACATACTCTGATACTTGGTTACTTCAACATAAATGTGGGGGAAAGTGAACACAGAAAAAAAACATGTGGGAAAACATGGCTCAAGAAGAGGAATGAAAGGAGCCAAAGACTTATAGACTACACAGAAACTTCATGCCTTTATATCATGAATACTTTCTTCAAGAAAAAAATTGGTAAACACTACAAATAGTGAGCACCAAATAACATCACACACATATACACACACAAAAAATGGATATTTTAACAGACCAAAAAGACTCATTCTTCATATGGGATTTATCCCTGAATCAACTGTCTTTTTCAGTCAGATCACTGACTTGTCAGAGCAAAGATCAGAATAAGTAAAGAGAAAGGGACAGGGAGCAAGGTAGGGGAAGGGGGGAAGGGTTGGAGAGAGAAAAAAAGGAGAAAAGGGTATGGCATCTAATTGAAGCAATTCAATCCTGAACTATCTCAACAAATAATTGGTCATAAATAATGGAAAATAGGCAAGAGAAATAACATCTGCATTGATTATAATAATATTATATAGAAGCTTAACCCATGTAAATAAATTGCCACCACAAGACCAGAAAGTACCTGAGTTCACAAATAGTTGACTTACTTATGAAGTGGAAAAATATGGTGGTCAAAAACAACATGGATTTTGAATATAAACTTGTTTGTAAAATCTTACAAATAAGGATGAAAAATTGTTATGAGGAGTGTTATCTAGTGGAAAGAATCAGTAAAGGGGTAATATTGGTTTAAAGAAAACTTAGCAAGCAATCCAGTTAAGCAAAATCATTTCAAGGACACATAAAAACAAAAATGCAAGAAGGAAAATAAACAGAAAAACTGTGAAAGATTTATAAAATTATAATTGTTTTCACCCCAAGCAGATGGATTCTAACATTCCCTACTGCCAGCTATTTTCTCAACATTTTAGTGACAACTTAGCCTCCCATTCCAGAAACCATACTCTGGAGATTCCCCCACACCCTTTCCACCTTAAGAACTTCTGGCATGGGGCTGGTTCCTCTGTCCAGACTGGTGACTGTCTTATCTGGATCACTATTTCAGTCAGATCCCAGTCTTGCTTCACTTCATTCCCTATTCTCCCACCTTCTTAACAGCCTCACCAGCAGCCACATGTACCATCCCAATTCCTCAGATCTGGAACCATGATGAAATCAACTGTGTCATTTTCTCCTAGAAGGGATATATCTATCTAAGCTTCTGTGACCTCATTTACACTTCTATAATGTTGAGAACCAAAAGGCCCTCTTCCAGCCCATCACTGCCACTTGTATGTTGTTTCTCTCTGTTAGAATGTAAATTCCTCCAAGGCAGGGATTGCCTTTCCTTTTGTATTTGTATCCCAAGTACTTCACGAAGTACTTAGCATATAGTAATGCTTTTTCATTCATTTATAACATCATGGTTCCATATGTGCATATAGATATGGTATTAAAGTATGACAATACTATAGATGGTATTAAAGAGAACATTTGAAAGGCAGCTGGATTGGATCAAATGGATATACAGGAGATCCATGCTGGAACTAACACAACTGTAAATTGATTGAAGGATCAATGTATGGGTATCTAAAGAAAAAGGATACAAAATAAGGAGTTATCTTAGATCTTATTATATCTAATTATTAATTAATATCTAAATTAATATCAAAAAAGGTGAGAGAACATTAACAACTACTGGCCTATACATCTACTTTGCCATCTATGCAAAATATTTAAGAAAATAATTTACACACAAATCAAAGACATCTTTAATGAGGACATTAGTGCAGGATTCTACAAGTGATATTCAATAATGGACCACACCCTTACTATTCTGTGATTGACTGAAAGACAGAAAATATAAGAGCCCACCGTTCGTGTTTGTTGATTGTCAAAATGCATTTGATTTTGAAGAGTAAAACACCATTTTAAAAGCTCTTTTCCAACAATGTGTCTCCCATCCATACATCAAAAGCATTAAAAATTTAGTGAGCTAAAACAGCAGAAATAATCCTTGTCAATGACCCTCTCTGATCACCAACATCGGGTGAGGAATAAAAAAGGGAGATGTTTGCTCACCAAAAATGTCTACTGCTGTGTTGGAGCTGATCCAGTATGAAGTCCAAGTTGAAGTTTTTGTTCATAGTTACTTTGATGAGGTCCACAGATGCTCCTGTTAATGGATGTTATCTCAATTTCATCATGCTATAAAACAATGCAGAGAATACTGCAAGATATAGTCATAACACTTTTTAAAATAGTTTATCCATCCATTCAAGAAAGAACAGGAAAGAAGAAAAAAAGAAAGCAGGAAAGAAGTGGAAAATTAATTTCTATTGCCCAGATTATGACATGCATTTGGATGGATGATTTATAGAGCTTGTTCTCTAAATTTGTGTCTCATTACTACTGTCCATAAGTATGTATAATTGGAGGGCAGCTAGGTGATGCAGTGGATAGAGTGCCAGGCCTGGAGTCAGAAAGATTCATCTTCCTGGGTTCAAATAAGACATTTACTAGCTGTGGGACCCTGGGCAACTCACTTAGCCTCAGTTGCATGATCTGTAAAATGAACTGGAGAAGGAATGGCAAATCACTCCAGTATCTTTGCCAAGAAAACCCTAAATGGGGACACAAAGAGTCAGACACAACTGAACAACAAAATGTATATCTGGGGCAGACAGTTCCTGTGGACACTGAATTAGGCCCTGTACAAATGGACAATAAGATGTGAGAAGAATGGTCTGGATTGCCTTCATGAAATTTCAAATCTCCTTTAATGACCTTAAATGTCTCCTGAAAACAATAGTCCATCTTTTTAATACTAATTTGTTATTTGTTTTGCTTTATGGTAGCAAGAAATGGAATACAAAAGACTCCAAATAATAAAAAATTTATATCATACAGAGGGCAATGTAGAGGTGAATGGTGGATGTGAGCAGATTGCAATACAAGGGTTTTTAAATAACAAGGGTAAAATATATCATCAAGGAAATGTGTGATAAGAAAAAAAGATGGGCTAGTTACTTAATAAGTTTAAAGGATAACAAGAATCAAAGTGAATCACTGGTATCCATCTTCAAGATGTCAAGAAAAACAAGGAAGGCCTCCAGTACACTGGGTGGATCCCTGTAGCAAACTTATGGGAGAATATGAATAAAAGTCTCACAACTTGAGAAAGCATAGATGGATTGTTTTCTGCATCACTGGAGGGAATACCCAAATTGATGACATCAGAGATCCACTTGGAAGTATTTGAGTACTATAATCAAGAGTATATTGGCAATGCTTTGTAGAATATATTAAAGAAAGAAGATATAAAGGACAGGAAGACTAATTAGTAAGGCATTGAAAAAGTCCAAATGAGAGGTAGCAAGGTTCTGAACTAAAGTAATGGAAGTGAGAATAGAAAGGAAGGAATAGATGCAACAGGTACTGCCCAGGGGGAATCTATGGGATTTGGTGATTGATTCATATGGGGAACAAAGGAGTCAAAGTTTTCATCCTGGTATGACTAGAAAAATGGTGAACCACTAACAAAAGCTGGGAAATTGAGAAAAAGGGTTAGTTTTTACAGAAGATAATGCGTTCAGTTTTGTACATGTTAAGTTTGAGAAACTAGAAGAACATCCATATGGGGACATCCAGTATATGAATTGTAAATGCATGACTAGAGTTTAGGAGAAAGGTCAAAACTAGATATTTAACTTTGGGGATCATTAGTCGAAAGCTTACATGTGGATGAAGTTGACAAGTGAAAGAATGTAAAAGACAAGAGGGTCAGTGACAAAACCCAGGCCTCAGACAAAATAAAACCTCAGCATTTCCAGATTCTCAAGTTCATCAAGATTTTAGATTTGAAAAGTCCTTATAAATTGTCCAGTTTAATCACTTCATTAACAAGTGAGGAAACTACAACTCAGAAGATTGTTATCTTCTCAAGGATGTGTAGCTACTTAGTGGCAGAGTTGTAACTAGGATCCAGATCACTGCAGTCTCATTCCATTGCTCTTTCTAGTATACCCTAGTCATTCTGAGCAGTACTTCTCATTATGTGTGTTCCCTAACTTTTCTCTAAGTCTTATTTTCCATGTCCTTCTGTGCTCTAGGCTCCCTCACCAATATGCCACAGCAAACCTCAATTATAAAACTTACTACACTATAAGCTCATTGAAGATAAGTGATATTTCATATTCATATATATAAAACAGTGTCCCACATAATGGATTCATAACAAATGTTTGATCAGCCAAAATATATATAGTAATACTTTTTGTAGGAGCAAACAATTGTAAACAAAGTATAGGTTCATGAGTTGGGGAACGGCTAAATAAATTGTGGCGCATGTAATGGAAAATTACTTCATCATAAGAAATGCTGAATATGAAGAATACAGGACACACGGAAAGCCATGAACTGATACAAAGTGAAGTAAACAGAACAGGGAAAACAAAATGCAGAATGAATGCAGCCTACATAAGGGAGGGAGTTGGGTTGGACCAACTCACCCAAAATTATACTCACCCAAAAAAGTAATCAGACAGGAAGCTAAAGGGCAAATAATTAGGTGTTAATGTGTTAACAAAATGCTAACACTCTGCTACCCCTTTTTGAAATGTGTGAAATTTTCCCTGATGTACATAGAGAGGAAGCTTACCAATGGCTGCTACATTAGCCATGCCCTTGATCACCTTTAAAATGTGAGCTTACTAAGCTCTGCAGTCACTTGAGACAGGAAACAGTTCGAGGAGTGGGACCTTTGCCAGCAAAAGAAATAAAACTAAGAATTAGTCCTGGCAAAGGACATGAGCTATAGAGAGGAGCAGACCCTGGGAGTCCAGCTGAGCAACAGGAAGAAATGCTGTGCCAGAGGGGGAGCACTGTGAAGACTAGATAGAGAACAAATACTGAAAGCATGAAGTTGCCTTGATCACGCTACTACTGTACTTTGTTCCTATTCTTTCCATATATGCTGTATGTATTTGTAGGTATCCATACCCTAGTTTAATAGGAGAGATGTTTTAGGGGCAGCTACGTGGTGCAGTGGCTAGAGCATTGGCCCTGGAGTCAGGAGGACATGAATTCAAATGTAGCCTCAGACTCTTGACACTTTACTACCTGTGTGACCCTCGGCAAGTCACTTAACCCTAATTGCCTTGTTAAAAAAAAATAGGGGGAATGTTTTGTAGCTACTATCATCACTACTCTATCTTAGCAAAAGCCAATTTTTTGAGGTAATTGTATCTACTGACCAAGTTAAGGAAAAGCTCATTGATTAGCGCTCCTAAACTATAGTTTCAGCAGTGCAGACCCAGAGTACCCTGCAAACTGATAGCAATGGTGGCCTTCTGGAGAGGTAACACAGAGTAGGTGCTACAAATATAAATGGAAAGAACAACAGCCAAAAAAATCTTTAAATTGAACAGTGTGTAATTATAATGACCAAGCTTGGCAAGAAATGAGAAAAGGTATTTCTCCTCCATCTTAGCAAAGTCAAGGGGATTATGTCTGTAGAATACAGCACAGATTGTTGGACTTAGCTGATGTGGCAGTTGGTTTTGCTGAAGTCTGTTTTTTTGTCTTTTTTAATCTTTGTTAAAAGGGTTGCTTCTCTGAGTAGGGGAGGGATATGTTGAGAGAAGAAGGTGATATAAATAAAAGTATATCAGTGAAAAGTAAAACAAAACCAAAAATAAATGATGAAACAATAAAAAAATGCAATAAAAACATGTTATTTTAGAACTAGAAGATTACTCAAAAAGAAGAGATGAGAAAATTCACCTCGTTTTTTGCAGAGGTGGGGAACTATGGTTGTAGGTATGTTGCACATTATACTATCAAATGTAAATGTATTGGTTACTTTTGCTGAGCTTTTTTTCTTTTTTTCTCCTTTGTTACTTGACTCAATGGGTGGGGGAAGAATATATTCAGAGAAAGGAAGGTAATATAAAAGCAAATGGTAGCAAAATTAAAAAGAAATCTTCTACCTCAAACCTTTCATCTTGCCAAACAGTTATACCAAATACCAAATACCAAATAGTTATCATTACTGTTGTCATCATCAGCATAAGAAAACTATTTTTAAAAATTTTTTTAATTTACAATGTTCCAAATTGATGGTCTCCAAAAAAATCTGAACTAATCTTCTCCAAGTCATTCTTCACCATTTCCCTCTGGGAAGTAGAATAGGAGAAGGAGGTACATGGAGGGTAGGAATAATCTTACTAATTAATTTTATCTTCCTACAAACTCCCAGGTTTCTTGGTTGCTAGGACAGAAGGCAACCCAGAAACTCAACCTTCCTGCCACTATCTCCACCTTCTACATTGCTGATCTGGATTGGTTCCCCTAATCCAGCCCCTTCCTCAGTCTTCCAGCTCATTGGGCCATCCACTGCTTTTCAACATGAGTTCTCTGGAGAGACATACCAGAGAAGAGATAGGAGGCACAGCTGGGAAGGTACTTACAGGTACTTACAGGGGAGGCAGAGAAATACTTTCTCCAGAAGAGGACTTAGAGGAATCACTTTTTTACATAGAACCTGATAACCTATTATTATTCTACCAAAGAGAGTCACCTTGAAATGAGACTAGAGAGGGCATCTCCTTAGTACCCAGAGCTTGAACACAATGTGCCCATTTCCTCCAATAGGACACCAAGATGCCACCAAAAATCAAAGGAAAGGGATCAAAAGCTGGGGGACAGGAAAAGAAAAAGAAGAGTCAAGGTGAGTCAGGTGGGTAGAGGCTAGTGGGAACGATGCCAGTACTCTACACATGAGAAGCTGGGACTTTCTTGGCTTTGTCTACCTAGCATCCCTTAGAGTCCTGATCCCCTTCCCCATGGTGGAATTCTTCCTCCTAGCCTTGGTTACTTCATTTATATCAAGGGAACCCAAAGAGTAGGGATCCCCAAAGGGATGGGGAAGGATGAACTTGTGTCAGTTTCTCCAATTGAAGACCCATCCACATGTCTTCCTAGGGGATCAAAATTCTGCATGAAAACAAAATGCAAGCTCTCCTGGAGTCACCACAGATCCAGAATCTCATCTGGGTCAGTCTAGCCTATTTGTGACCACTTAATTTTTGTAATTGTCACTATCTCCTACTCCTGTACCACCAGCTCCAGAGAGACTTGCAAGTGCCTACAGCAGGCACTTTTAGTTTTAATCCCAAGCAGATCCCCAAACGTGGGGGTTAGAGGTGGGGGAGAATGACAAAGGAGAAGCTATAATAGTTTAGGCCCTTTGTCTGGTTTCCATGAAACTGTCCCCCACTTCCTGTTTTGTAATATAAGAAGAGTCATGGACTAGGAGTCTGAAGACCTGGGTTTTTTGTTTGAATTGCTCTGTAACCTTAGGCAAATTCACCTCACCTCCATTGTTTCGTCATAAAATTAGGAAGTTGGACCAGATAATAAAGTCCCTTCTAGCTCTAAATCTATGATCCTATGATTCCTTCTTGCCAAGGACAGATGCTGAAGCTGAGATCAAGCATAGGAGAACAGCCCTGGAGCTGGAGATCCTCCGTGACCATCTGGGTAAGGGGACAGTAGAGGAAGTGCCCCTAGGAGGTTATTATATTCCCCTTTACTCCTTGGAGAGCAGAGGTGGTACCTATTCCAAATTCTCCCCCAACTAGATCCTAGCTAAATAGATAGTTCAGGGAGATTGTTTATGTAGGAGGTATAGGTAATGAAGGTTAGAATTAGAATTAATTATAATCCTTACAGAGATATGAGGATGTCATTTTCCATGGGCCAGGGTAGAGAAGAAATTTGTTCCAAAAGAGTGATTGGTAGACTCCAGGGCTGGGGGAAATGGAGAAACCCCTAAAACATTGGGCAAATAGGAGCTTGGAGCCTCCAGGAGTGGGAAGGAGAGGAGTCTAACAGTGGGGGAGGGGGGTGTTGGCGAGAGGATGACAAGATATCCTAGGAGAATGGGATATCCCATATGGGCTGAGAACTTCATTGCTGCCACCCCCAGCTCTTCAGCAGGATGAGACTCACCAGGCCATAGCCTGCAGAGAACAACTCCGAGAGAGGCTGCCGAGAGTTGGAGGCTGAGGTGGAGGGAGCTCAGGGTGATGGACAGGCTGTGTATGCAGGTAAGAGGAGAGGCCTCAGACTGTAGGACAACTTATTACCAATTCTGTCTTTGGGCTTTGTCCACTCAGCATAAATTAAATAAGGATCTTAGAATCTTAGATTCTAAGATAGGATCTTAGAAAGGGATGTCCCAAAGTTTGTGACCCCTCTATCCCACAGTGATTGTAGAACTGGAATGGCACAGGGGACCTGGTTGCCTTTCTCTTCTCTATTTGATACAAACTTCTGCCTTTTTGATGACTTTACAAGCAGGTTTTTCTATATCTATTATCACTAAGCCATGGGAAGGGGTTTTCCAAGTCAAATTCCTATGCTATCATCCCCAATATGGAGTATCATATTCATTTCTGGTTACCACATATTAAGAAGGACATAAGTTGGAAAGTATCCAGAGGAGCACAACCAGGATGGAGAAGAACCTCAAGATCATGACCTAAAGATTAGATGAAGGAACTGGGAATTTTTAGCCTGAAGAAAACTTCTAGGGGAAATGTAGCTGTCTTCTAATATTTGAAGAACCATCCCATGAAAAAGGGATTACATTTGTTCTTCTTGGCTACAGAGGACAGAACTAAAAACAATGGGTAGAAGCTTGAGAGTAGCAAATTTAAGTGTGATAAGGAAAAAAACTTCCTAAAATATAAATCTATCTAAAAGTAGAATGGGCTACCTTAGAAAGTAGGATGTTCTCTCTCATGAGGAATCTTCAAGCAAAAACTAGGTATGTTGTAGGAAGGGTTCTTGTTCTGGTAGAGATTGGACTAGATGGCCAGTGATGTGTCTTCCAATTCTAATTCTATGATCTTCCTTACTGGGAGTGCCTCCCACTCCTCCTCCCATCCCATACCCCAAGAGATGAGTTGTCAGTACCAAGCCCTGAGGAAAGAGGCTGAGACACAGAGCCATCGGCTGGAAGAGGAAGTAAAGGTCCTTCGGAAAGAGCTAGGTATCGATTTCCGTCTCCTAGGTGGGTAACTGATCAGTCTGTGATCTGAGAATGGGGTATAGCAGGGCTAGAACTGGACCAGTGAGCTGAGGTTGCCAGGAATGAAGGGATGAGACAGCACTCTTAGGTGAGACATCCCGTGGTATTCTGTCTCTTGGAAAAGTACAAATGGGACAGATTCTCCCGAGGCTGCTGAGCTGCCCCATCCAGCGGGCTTCACATTCCTCATTAATCCTCTTCCTGGCTCCCTAGAGGCATGCCAGAGAGAGGCAAAAACTGCCAAGGGAGAGGCATAATGGCATTAGCAGAGCAAGACAAGACCCTTGCCCAGCTCCAGGCCTATTTGACAGACACGGAGGCTAAGTATGAAGAAATTCTACATGTAAGGACCATCCAGCCGGCATTGTTCTTAGACCTTTCCCTCCTGGATCTTGGCACCCTTTCCCTGGGCTCATGAATCAGCTTCTAACTAGCTCTTCACATCTCACTGGGTTAGACAAAACCTGACTAGGAGATAGGCTACAAGGAAGAGACATTTGCACAGGAGCCTGGGGTCCTCTACCTCTCTCAGTAGCACATGGCAGGTAGCATGGTTAATCTAGGCCCCTGGCACTAAGGGCTTTAAGAAAACAGAAGGAGCTGGCAGTTAGGTAGTGCAGTGGATAAAGCACTGGCCCTGAAGTCAGGAGGACCTGAGTTCAAATACAGCCTCACATCAAACAATTGATATTAGCTGTGTGACCGTGGGCAACTGCCTAAAAAAAAAATCAATTTTTAAAAAGAAAGAAAACAGTGGGAGGTAAGGTGCAGTTCCAAAGACATTGTGGAGCATCATTCACTTATTCTCTTCTGTGGGGCTGAGACCAAGTAGAAGGTGATCCTCCTTTACAGCACAGCCTGGCTCAACTCTTGGCCAAACTGACCGCAGCCAAGCTTGAGTGGAACACGGCTGCTCCGAGGCTCCACGACAAGCACAAAGAACAGCTTCCAAAATTTGGCCTCAGCCCTGGGCCTCTGAAGCTGGCACTCGTGGACTTTAGGGCCTTCGGGGCTCCCGATAATGCAGGCTCTGTGCTGCGCCACTGAGCAGCAAGGGCTTTTCTCCTCCCCAGCCCTGAGTCCCTTCTCTAAATGAAGCTGGCGTGAGGGAAGGCTCTCCTAGTGGGGGAAAGCATACCGGGTGGAAGGCAGAACCATCTAACTAACGTTTTATCTATTGAGTTGTGGGGAAAGAAACATGGGCAAACCCAATCCATTTGTAGAAGTAATGCCCCCACTCCCCTCCTCCCACCAAGACTCAAGGAATCTTGAGGCAGCTAAGTGCTGCAGTGAATAGAGTGCTGGGCCCAAAGTCAGGAAGACCTGAGATCAAATCCAGCCTCAGACATTTACTAGCTGTATGACCCTGGGCAAGTCACTTAACCTCTGTTTGCCTCAGTTTCCTCAATTACAATATGCAGATAACAGCACCTACCTCCAAGGGTTGTTGTAAGGGTCAAGTGAAATAATATATATAAAGTGCTTAGCACAGTGCCTGGCATACAGTAAGCACAGCATAAATGCTTATTCCCTTCTTCTTCCTTCTTCTATTCCAACACAAACACAGGCAACGAGACTTATGGGAAAGGCTAATTTCAATAGGTTCTAAGTCTACATCCACCAGGGCCTTGTTGCCCTGGAATCCCAGTATCCCTTGCTTTCTCCGTAGGTCACAAGGGAAGGAAGGAAGGAAACAAGCATTTATTAAGCAGTTTACAAATAGCTCACTTGATCCTCACAACAACCCTGGAAGATAGGTATTATTACCCCCATTTTACAGTTGAGGAAACTGAGGCAAACAGAGGTTAAGTGACTTGCCCAGGGTCATACAAATAGTGTCTGAGGCCAGATTTAAACTCAGGCCTTCCTGGCCCCAGGTCCAGAGCCCTGTGAATTGATCCCTTGAAAAGGGAGATATCACAGAGGGATTATGATACTGGTCTCCAACTTTAATTGAATGTTCAACATCATCAAACATCAGCGGCGAGCACTGGACCCACCCCTCAGATACAGTACAGGAGATCTTAGTCTCTGCAGGTCCTACTGTCCCACAAACAAGCTTTCTCTTAGGGTGTCCCCTGGCCCTCCTACCAAACTCTTGCACATTTCTCCTGGCTAGGGAATACGGATAGGAAGCTGCTGACAGAGCAAACCCAGTACATTGGGCAAAGCTACTTCCCCCACCCTTTCCCAGGGAGTGAAGCCTTGGGAAAAGAAGGAGATTTATCCCAGGAGGCCTCTGTAGTCCTTTGAGGACATCCCATCTCTCTAGCCTTTGGGCTGAGGAATTTCCATCCACTCCTGAAATAAGGAGGTGTATCAGACAAAGTAACAACAGACAGATCCACACCAGATAAGATATTCTATAGCCTCTCAGAAGGAAGACTCCAGTCCTAGGTTTAGAAATAAGAGAAGATAATGATTGAGAACCTAGAATCCAATGGCCACTTGCTTTCCTCTTCCCCACCCCCTCAGGGCAGGAATCCCCATGAATAGAGTATAATCTATTCTGCAATTCAGTTCCCCAACCTTGGTGCCTTCTGTCCTGTCCATCTGTTTAATACTGGGAGGTCTATACTGTAATCCCTTCTCTCTCTGCCCTCCCCAGCTTCACTTCCTTTCTCCCCACACTTGAATTCTCACCTTTCCTGGTTCTAAAGAGCTGCAGGTCTCACTGCCTCGTCTGCCCTGGGCTGCCAGCCTCAGATGAAGGGGCGGCTTAGCATCACTCAGCTGCTGCATGACTTCGAGAACATTCTCCCTACTCACAGATTGTCCATTCACCTCCAGAATCACATCCCCCATACGAAGTCCTGCTTGGAAAGCTGAGCCCCCTGGAGTCACCTGGGAACAAAGGCCAATCAGCTGAATCAGATAGGGTACAAAGGGGGAAGGGCACAGGAAGAATTGGCATCCCTAAGGGACCATGTAATTGTGGAGATATGGAACACAAGATAACACGGAAGATGAGATGTGGACTGGGCTCTCTATGGTTCTTGAAAAACTGGGAAGGAGGCTACTTTAGGACTAGAGACTAAAATCAAGAGATCAAAGGTATATCACCTGGGAAATGATGATATTAGGCTTGTCAGCCCCCCAGCTGAGTTGGAAACCATAACCACCATTAGGCCCTGGGCTCAGAAGGCATTGACAGAAGCTAGGTAGGGCAGGAGGAACAAGGGAGGTAGAAACTTCAAGTGGTGAGGCCAGATCTGTTGCCAAGGATGCTTGAGCCTCCTCCTGGGTTACTAAAGGAAGCTTCTGGGAAGAAGCTGGGTCATCTGCTTGGGGACTAGCATCCTCTAAGAAGAGGAGAGGAGATAAGCGGACCTAAATGGAAAGAAAGAGAGAACAAACCTCTTGTTTCACTGTCTTGATACCTTCTAGCTTCCCTCCTCCCCCAGGTGCTAGGTCATACCATGCTGTAGAAGCTGTCAGCATCTGGGTCCACAACGATCAGAGAGAGATGACATCCCTGGGCCCGAATCCTGGTCACAGCCTCCTCATGGCCCAGTCCCTCCACGCTGTCCCCAGCCACAGCAACCAATCTGTCCCCAGCCCGCATCCCAGCTTGGTCTGCTGGCAGCCCTGGATCCACCTCCCACAGGAACTGCCCTAGGATACAGACACGTTCATTGCTCCTTCCCTCAGCCCAGAGTTACAGATGTGGACATCCCAGGATGGGTAGACATTGACCTGTTGCTTGAATGGATATTCTCCTGAGTTGTATGGGGACGGCATATATGCCAATACATACATGGAGAACACAAGAACGTATGACCTTAGGCTCAAAAGGGGACATGTTAACAACTGGGTATAGGAATGGAAGGAAACATAGCTCTCTCCACATGCCTGGAGAGGATAGGTAGTTATTGGCTTATGTGCATGCCCACCCCTACTTTTCCCACCCACCCACCAGTCTCATTCCATACTGTCCATGGTTCCCCACTCACCAAGCTGGCCATTGGGGCCTTTCTCCTCTCGAAGCAAGAACCCGAAGCCCTTGGGTCCTTTTTCTAGATGCAACTGGCGTGGCCGGGCAGGCAGTGCCCAGCCCTCAGCCAAGGGGGCAGCCAGGGGTAATCCCAGATGACGACACTGCTCTTCCACTTCTGGCCCTGCCACCAGGAGGGCTACCTTCTCCCCACTCTGCCGAAGCTGTGGGGGCCCCCAGACTGGACATAAATACCCAACAACCAGAGAGTAGCTCAAAGCACATGCTTCCCCAGAATCCTCTCCTCCCAAACACAGGAAAAGAGGCATTGAGGGTGGTTGGGTCACCATGCACCATAGTGGAAGGATAGGAAGAGAAGAGACCTGGTCTGAAACTTCAAAAGAGGGGTCAATGTTCAGCACAGGATCACAGATCTAGAGTTAGAAGGCAACTCAGAGACCATTTAGTCCAAACCCTTCATCTTACAGACGAGAAAACAGAGGCCCAGGGAAACTGTGACTTCCAAAATTACACAGGTGGTGTACATCAGAAGTGGGATCTGAACCCAGGTCCTCCGGCTTCAGAACCAGTGTGCTTCTAATTATAACATCAAAAGCACATCCTCCAATGGTAAGGTGAGATTAGTTTAGCATGAGAATAGGTAAGGAAGGAGACACCTCTCTTAGGTAGAGAAGATCCTTCACCCTTCTTCCCACTTTCCCCACCTATGGATGTGCTGACTGAAGGGAGAAGACAGGACTTCTGGATGTCTAGATGGGGAGCAGAAAAGGCAGAGGAAGAGGCTCTGTACCTTTCTGCTGAGCTGACTATGTGAGAAATTCTCCACACTGTTCCCATTGACTTCCAGCAACCGAGCCCCCTGGGGGATCCCAGCCCGCTCTGCTGCTCCTCCGCAACTCAACGTCAACCAGAAAAGGCCCCTTTTTCCTGGGAACAGGGAACAGGGTTCAGGGTGCTGCCTGCCCAGAACTTCTCCCTGACTGCCTGTCACCCCCCATCCAAATCCTCAGAACCAGCTCACACCGTGGGTGATACTAAAGCCAAAGCCACCCTCATCTTTCGCCACGTGGCACAGCCGAGGTCGGACACCAGAATCCAGGACAGGACAGAGACGGGCACCATCTGTCTGATGAGCACGAGCAACCTCCTCCATGTTCCCTGCCAACACTATCAGCAGCACCCGGGGACCGCTAGCCCGGATTCGCCGGACCACCTGGGCAGGGAGGGAACCAAGGGAGCTTCTGAAGGAACACCCCTCAGGATATTCATGTCTGGGCATATTCCCATTTAAACAGCCTCACTTTTTCCTGAGAGTACCACTTGTCTCTAGATCTTCCCCCAAACTCCTCTCTTCCCCTGGTCATTTCCTGTGCTAGAAAGAGAGAACTCAGTGGTGCTTAGATAACAATACCTACTACTCCAGTGAGTGACCAACCTGCCCTCTGTAACTCTCCTTGGCACTCACCCTGTCCTAGACAACCTTACCCCATAGTAGTCCTCATGCTCCACAATGTCCCCATTGACCCCCAGGATCCGGTCTCCATCCTGAAGTCCTTGGCGCTGAGCAGAAGTGCCTGGTTCCACCTTTCGGACTATGTGCCCAGTCTGGCCCAGCTCCTTATGCAGGCAGAAGCCAAATGTCCCCCCCACCTCTTTGCTCAACAGACAGAAACGGGGGCGCTGACGGCCCCAGAAATCTGTCAGGGAAAGAGAAGCCAGACTCAGAGTGTGAGGAAGAGCAGTTTATCACCATGGGCACTGTCACTATTCCATCTCCCAGGGGACACTACTTTCCCCTCTAGACCACAGGTCAAAAATACCACCATAGGAGAAGCAACTGGGAAACAGTGGAGAATAAGGTGATTCACACATTTATGGTGAGAGTGCCTGTCACATATAGTACAGGGTTTAGGGCACTCTAATGGCATGGGGATGGGGGAAAACTGACAAGGCCCCCATAACTGACTGGATGTTCTCAGGGGTGATGAAAGAAGGTAATTGCTATGGAGATGAAAGTGTTTTGGGGAAACTTGGGGTACTTTTTATTTGAGGAGAATAGATGAATTTTGGGTTCAGAGAAAATTACCAAGGTGGTCATGGTCATCAGCTAATGAGAGTGCAGGATTATCAATCCCCAGCTTGGGGTTAAATTTAAACTTCCTGTAAAGAGGCAGATGGAAAGGATAGTACCATCCTGGGCACCATGCCCAAGTCAGATTTCAGTAGAGCCCCGCCCCAAGCTGAAACCATCCCTTTTCTCTCCTTCCCAACCTCACCCCCTCCCCCACGAAACAGCAAAAACAATGTTCCCTATCTCCTCTTCCTTTCTTCCATCCCCCTCAACATAGAGGAGTAGGGAGGACATCTCCCCTCTCCTCTTTACGGAACTCACAGATTTAATGTGGCTGTGTCCTGGAGATCTGGAGGGGAAAGAGTAGGGTGAGGGCAAGGTACACACATGTCATCGCCAATTCTGGATTATACCACCAGAATGATCTTTCTTCATTGTATGAACCCCATTCCCATACTGATTACACCTTTGCCCCCTAGCTCCTTCTCTAACCCCAGGAGCTCTGGGTAGAGATACACATGGAACGTGAGTGGAGCAAATATTTATCCTGTCATAATTACTTCCTCCCCGATACCCCCACCTTGACCACTAACTACAAGGTACCAGGCTCCCCATCTTGAGCATCCCCCACCAAGGTCCCCTCCTTAGGGGACACTTCATTATGCTCTCTACCTGTTGCTGCTTCCATGTCAGGGCCGGGTGTTCAGGGTAGGGACAAGGTTCACCTCAAGCAGCTGACCCTCCTTTTCCTTCCCCAAGTCCCGCCTCCTTCAAGACACGACTGCCTGAGGTAATGGTTAACGGAGGAGAACCTTGCCTCTAGGGAAGTGAAGAACTTTCTCCCGTCTCCCTCCTTAGGCCCAACTTTCCCTAGAAGATGCCTGCCATCTGCCAATGTTCAGCCAGCTTCAGGAGTCTCCCTCTGGTCCATTCTGTATATTTCAAACCAAGAAGTACAGATAAAGTTGAGATGAACACCACCAGCCCTGCAGCAAACCATAGGCTACCATTTCTCCAAATTATCCCCCGTACACCCCAAAGCCTGTTGGCAGCCATACCTGAATGACTTCTGGGTCATGAAAGCACTCACAACTAAAATAGACAGGAAGGGAGAGAGATGAGTTAGCTCAACCCTCCCACCAACAAGGCCAGGCCCTCTGCTTTCAGCAGAGTGTCGGAGACAGTAGGAGAAGGAGAGAGAACTATGGGAAACTGACACCCTTTCCTGCCCCAGAGCTCTGGAAAGGGGACCCATGCAGTCAGCAACAGAGCATAGTTGGTTATTTACTAAGAACTGTCCCCAGGGTAATCTCTGGGAGGATATTGGGTTCAGCTAGCAATACAGTTTTTTTATTTTTTATTTTTATTTTTGCCAAGAAAGAAGAGACCATAGCATTAGATAGAAGACATATGTTTTTGTTTTTAATGGCGGCAAATCAGGGCACTTGCTTCTGGGAGCCACCAAGCTTTGCACATCATTGTGAGTCTGGGTAAAGCAAATAAGCAGAAGGCACCAATGGAATAAGATATCTGCTGACACCCTTTGCATCCATAAAGAGGACTTGCTCTGGCACAGAAAGGAGGAGGGGACAGTGGGGGCAGATAGATGGTCACTGTCTTCACAACCAATCTAAGTGATGTCTCCAGGAACAAGGGGCAAGCATGGGCCACATCAAGTAGAGGTGGCTGAGATGATGGGGCCTTCATACCCTAATTCTCAGGGATAGTGGAAGGGAGTGACTTGGCCCCTGAAAATGCTAAGGAAGAGCCCACCCTCCTCCATTGCTGTACACCTCCCCCAACAAAATGAGAGCAAACAAGTCGCACCAATACAGCTACGATTTCATGGCTGTGATCTGGACTCACCAGAGTTTAGGGAGCACAGATAGAATAGGCCATGTCAAGGCAGTGCTGCGACCATTCCCTCATCAACCCAAGTTCTAAAGAAGCCCTCTCAGCTCAGAGAAGGATCTCCCCACTACCATACACAAAGGCTGACAAAGGATAAGGGGGTGGGTGCCAATGACTAGGGCAACTCTGTGCCTAATGCCTGCCTCAGCTCCCTGGGCCACCTAAATGCTCCAACAGAGATCTGACTTGCCCCTCCACCCGCAGCAGCTGGGCTTTGCGCCAAGGATTAAGGGTAGCACCCCGGCTGTCTTCCAGGTCTCGCAGTAGCATTGATAGGTGGCACTGGACTCGGCCTCGCTCCCAGCTGTTCAAGTTGCGCTGGATTTCACCCAGGATCACAGACCAGTGCTCCGACACAGCTGTGCCTTCAGTCAATGATGCCACTACTCGGGCCCTTCCAGGGGTTGCACCTTCTAGCTCCCGTAGCTTCTTCCGGCCCTCTGGGCTCAGCTCATTGAAGTAGAGGCTAGTGAAGAAAGGGGGAACAGAAGGGGTGATCCATCAAGAGGCACAGTGGGAAAGGCAAAGTAGATAATAAGGGAGAAAGGACAGCAAGGCAATGAGAGGCAGTGGAGAAGGGAGACGTGACAAATTGGAAGTTAGAGAGGAGAGCATGGTGGCCAGTAGCGGCTTAAGGGCAGGGAAGTGACCAACCACAGGGCACAATGGAGACAAGAGCCAGTGTGGGAACTGGGCAGCTAGGACCCTGAGAGAAGCAATGATGGAAGAAGGTAAGGTTGGGACCAGTTCAAAGGGTTCAAGGTTGAGTACGGACTAGAAGAGTTTAAATTACGAGCATTAATCAAAAGATGTGAAGAGGGTGGTGCAGTGAATGGAGCCCTGGCCTGGAATCAGGAGGACCTGAGTTCAAATCCGGCCTCAGACACACAGCACTTAACTAGCTGTGTGACTCAGGGCAAGTCATTTAACCCCAATTGCCTCACACACACACACACACACACACACACACACACACACACACAAAATGTGAAGATTGAGGGGGAACCTCTACACATGTAGGTCTCAAGGGTAGTTGATCTAACAAGGAAAATAGGAAGAGTATCTGGCCTTGAAAAGATGGAAGCTAGGCCCAAGACTAGGGGAAGAAGGGAATGAATGATCACTCACTGTAACAGCTCCAGAGAGGGGTGTTCCCTGGCAGCCCTGGCCAGGCCAAGAGCTGCTGCATCACTTGCTCCGTTATAGGCCACATTCAGCTCCCGAAGCTGTTGGTTTCGTTCCAGGTGGGTAGCCAGCAGCTCCAGGCCTTCATCCGCAAGCCCAGTGTGCAGCAGAGACAAGTGGGTCAAAGAAGTGTTCCCACTCAGCCCTTCTACCAACAGGGCCAGGCCTGCTGCTGTGAGTGGGTTGTTGGAGAGGCTGCAGTAGGAGAAGGAAGGAGAGATATGAGAAACTGATGTCCCCTCCTGCCTCCGAATTCTGAGGAAGGGAGGTCACACAGTAGCAACATTTATTGAGAACCAACACCAGGGCCATCCCTAGGAGTGTGTTGGGTTCAGAGCTAGCAATACAGCTGCTCTCCTCTTCATGTAACATTGTCATTCAGGCGACATCTGTTTAGCAGCACAGGATTTAGAACTGGAGGAGGCCTGAGGGATCATCTAGGCAAGAGGTTAATGTTTTTTTAATAACGGACCCTTGTGGTAGTCTGGTGGAGTGTACGCACCCCTTCTCAAAATGATGGTTTCACAGCAACACTGTGTGATGATCACCTATAACTGACTTAGCTCTTCTCAGCAATGCAAGGATCCAAGACAATTCCAGAAGACTCATGATGGAAAATGCTGCCCACATCCAGAGAAAGAATTAGAGTCTGAATGCAGAGCGAAGCATACTATTTTCTCTCTTTTTTTTCTCGTGGTTTTTCCCTTTTGTTCTGATTCTCCTTTCACAACACGACTAATAGGGAAATAGCTGTAATAGGATTGTACATGTATAACCCATATCAGATTGCTTGCTGTCTTGGGGAAGGGGGTGGGGAGGGAGAAAAATTTGGAAATCGAAATCTTATAAAAGTGAATATTGAACTATCTTTGGAAAAAACCATGAAATACTATTAAGTGGGAAAAATGATGGTTTTAAATGCATAAAACAAAATATATAAGATTACAAAGAAAACCACTTATATTGAAGTAGCTATAAATTCATTTTTTAAAACCAAGTTCACAGATCATAAGGTAAGAATCCTTGATTTAACTCAACCATCTAATTTTACAGATAGGAAACTAAGGCTCAGGGGAGAAGAAACGGCTTGCTCATGATCACACAGACACTAAACAGCAGAACCAGAATCTGAACCAGGTCCTTTGATTCCAGATCAGTGATCTTTCTGCTACCCCAGTGGTGTCAAACTCAGATAGAAACCAGAGCCACTAATCCATACATAAGGATCTTTGCAGGCTGCACATTGACTTAGCCATAAAATATCATGTTATCCACGTTTTATTGTATTTTTATTTATTTTGTTAAATATTTCTCAAATACATTTTAATCTGGGTCAGGCGGCTCTCATTTTTTTTCCTCCAATTTCCAGAATCCTTTGGCTCTGCTGCCTGCCAGACAGTGATTTCTTTATTCATTAAGAGCAGCTTTGAGGAGGAAACCAATGGAAGAAGCCATAAGAGTCAGGTGCGACTTACGTACGGTAGAGAGAAGGCAGATGCAGTAAAGTGAGAAGAGAATCAGGTAACTGGGGAAAAGTCTTTGCAACAAATTTCTCTAATAAAGGTCTCAGCTGAGGATAAGCTAGGTGGTACGGTGGAGAGAGCAATAGGCCTGGAGGTGGGAAGACTTGAGTTCAAATCTAGCCTCAGATACTTACTAGCTGTGTGATCCTGGCAAGTCACTTAACCTCTCTGCCTCAGTTTCCTAAATTGTAAAATGGGGATAATAACAGCACCTACCTCCCAGGGTTGATGAGATAATATTTGTAAAGTACTTGGCACATTGCTTGGTACAGAGTAGATGCTATACTAAAGCTTTGTTATTCAGTCATGTCCAACTCTTCATGATTACAGCACACGAGGCCCTTCAGTCCTCCGTTATGTCTCGAAGTCTGTCCGAGCTCATGTTTATTGCTTCCACGACACTGTCTGTCTGTCTCATCCTCTGCTGTCCCCTTCTCCTGCTGCCTTCAGTCTTTCCCATCATCACGGTCTATTCCAATAAGTTTTGTCTTCTCATTACGTGGCCAAAGCATTTAAGCTTCAGCTTTAGTATTTGACTTTCCAGTGAACAGCCAGAATTAATTTCTTTAAGTATTGACTGATTTGATCTCCTTGCTATCTAAGGGAATCTCAAAAGTCTTCTCCAGCACCATCATTTGAAAACATTGATTCTGTGGCGCTCAGCTTTCCTTGTAGCCCAACTCTCACAGCCATACATTTCTACTGGAAAAACCATAGCTTTGACTATGTGGACCTCTGTCGATATAGTTGTGTCTCTGCTTTTTAGTATGCTGTCCAGATTTGCCATAGATTTCCTTCCAAGGAGCAAGCATCTTTTAATTTCATGCAGTTGATGTCTGCAGTGATCTTTGAGCCCAAGAGTATAAAATCTGACACTGCTTCCAGACCAGTTGCCATGATCTTCGTTTTTTATTTTGTTTTGTTTTATGTTAAGCTTCAAGCCAACTTTTACACTCTCCTCTTATTCTCATCAAGAGGCTTATTAATTTTTTTTCACTTTCTATCATCAGAGTGGTATTGTCTGTATATCTGAGGTTTTTCATATTTCTTCTGGCAACCCTAATTCTGGCTTTTGATTCATTTAGCCTGGCATTTTGCATGATGTACTCTACATATAAGTTAAATAAATAAGGTGATACTATAAAGCCTTGTCATACTCCTTTTCTGGTCTTAAACCAATCAATTGTTCCATGTTTGGTTCTAACTGTTGCTTCTTGACCTACATAGAAGTTTCTTAAGAGGCAAGTAAAATAATCTGGTACTTCTATCTCTTTGAGGACTTGCCCCATTTTGTTGTGATCTCCATAGTCAAAGGCTTTAGTGTAGTCAATGAAGCAGAAGTAGACATCTTTATGGAGCTTCCTTGTTTTCTCCATAATCTAACACATATTGGCAATTTGGTCTCTAGTTCTCTGCCTCTTCAAAAACCAGCCTGCTTGGGATAACTAGGTGGCGCAGTGGATAGAACACCAGCCCTGGAGTCAGGAAGACCTGAGTTTGAATCCAGCCTCACACACATAACACTTAACTAGCTGTGTGACCCTGAGCAAGTTACTTAATCCCAATTGCCTCATATAAAAAAAGAAAAAAAAACCCAGCCTGCCCTTCTGGTCATTCTTGACTCATATATTGCTGAAGCCTAGCTTGCAGAATCTTAAGCTGGCATGTGAAATGAGTGCAATTGTTCAATAATTTGAACATTCTTTGGCATTGCTCTTTAGGACTGGGATGTAAGTTGATCTTTTCTAATCCAGTGGTCACTGCTGAGTTTTCCAAATTTGCTGGCATATTAAGTGAAGCACTTTAACAGCATCATCTTTTAGAATTTTAATAGCTCAGCTGGAATTCTGTCACCTACACTAGAGTTATTATTAGCAATGCTTCTTAAGGCCCACTTGACTTCATTCTCCAGGATGCACCTCACACTCATAAAATTAATGAAGTTGACAAATATGGAGAACAACAAATTCTGGTGGAGCTATTCAAAATAGGTATTTTAATATGCTTTTAAATATATATATTTTCTTTATTTTGTTAAATATTCCCCAATTACATATTAATGTACTGTTGATAGAATTATGGACTGATCAAGCCATTCTGGAAAACAAATTGGAAGTATGCCCCCAAAGTTAATAAATTGTGCATACCTTTTGACCCAGAAATACCACTAGCAGATTTCTACCTCAAAGAAGTTAAAGAAAGAGAAAAAGAATCTCTATGTACAAAAAAACTTACAGCAACTCTTTTTGTGATGGCAAAGAACTGAAAAATGAGGGGATGCCCATCAATTGAGGAATGAATGAAAAAATTATAGTATATGTATGTGATAGAATACCATTGTGCTAGAAGAATTGATGAAAGGTTTCAGAGAACCCTTGCAAGACTTGGATGAACTGATGCAGAGTAAAGCGAACAGAACCAGGAAAATAATTTTTAGAATAATAATATTGTAAAGGTAAACAACTTTAAGAAACTTTATAACTTTGATTAATGCAACAACCAATTATGATTCCAGAGAACTCATGATAAAACATGCTACTTATCTCCTAACAGAAAGGCAATAGATTCAGGGTGCACACTGAAACATATGTTCTTGGACATGGCCAATGTGGAAAAAAAATTTTTTTGCTCAACTATGCATATTTGTTGCAAGACTTTTATTCTTTCTTTTTTAGTAGGGAGAGGTGAGGGAGGTAGGAAGGGAAAGAAAGTAAATTTTAGTTAATTTAAAAAATAAAATATTTTTTAAAAGAGTTAGCCAGCGAGAGTCCTCCCTTGTCCCCCACCATGTGCTGAGTGTCTATGTATGAGGGAATTGTGGGCATTGAGTGAACCACACTAATTCCATTTTGTGACAATTCTGGAGCTAGCTCAGTTCCCTTTCTATTCAGTTATGGGTCTAGTCCAACTTCTGTCTTGTGAAAAAACTTTGTGGTATTGTTTGAACCAAGCCCTGCATGGCTGGAAAGCTGGACCACCTCTACCTGTTGCTTAGAGACCCTTAACTAGGGACCCAGGTTATAATCAGAAACCTAGTCCGATCCAAAGAATGATGCAAGGAGATTTCTCACAATTCTACACCTCAAGCAACCCATAAGTCTTATCTGAAAACTGGTCCCATAATGATCAATCAGTTCCTGTTTCCTTGTTCTTTTGATTGACTACAGATACTTGGGGTGGGGGGGGAGAGGAGGGAGTGGGAATTGCTCCTGTTTGCTCTCCCCCCTCTCCACTTCAGAAAGCCCCTAATCTTTCCTCCAATTAGAAATCAGATTACTTTATCTTGTATTCTGGTTTATATCCTGTTGATTGTTTTCTTTTAATGCTTAAAAAAATTATCTCTGCCTATATTTGAAGTTGAGTGGTAAAGCTAAGGAGGCTTGGTCCTGATTTGTTGTACAATCAAATACATTGCTTAATAAACTGATATGCTCAGAAGCTCAAACCTTTGTTTCCTCAATCACTTCAATCAATCCACAAGCCACAGTTTTTTGTTTTTTTGGCAGAGTCAGCTAGGTGGAGAGATAGGATTCCAGATACCAGGACAGCCTTTCAGAAAAATTCCCTAGAGTGCTCCAAGTTAATCTTTCACCAAAGGAATTCTGTGCAGAAGGCTGTCCTACAGATCAAACTCCCCCTCCTCAATTTTAAATTCTTCTGAGCTAAGATAAG